CCCAGAACCAACTTCGAGCAGATTTGTGCCAATGGCAAATGGCTCGACCGAGATGGGGCCGACGGCTTCAGCCAGTTCTCGTGCATCGCCCTTGTCCAGGTCGTTAGCAGCTACTACCAGGACCTCGACTCGCGCAACTGGCAGGAGCTCTACGCTTCGAATGGCATCCAGCACATACTACTTACATCTACTTACGACGAGTTGGCTCCCAGAAGCCCAAAGAAACAATAATGCCGTTAAGATCGTGGCAGGTGCTGTGCACTCAGTCTTTGCCAAAACAGGCCTCCAAATTTGCCGATCCTTTCAAGCATTGATTCTGCACAACTAATCGTGCTTCCGTGACGCATGTGTCGTGTGCTGGGCATGCTTTTAAGCAGGCTTCACGGCTTTGTGCGTGTGCTTCTTTTTGGACAAGGAGTTCCTCTTGTGACCCCTGGTTGAAGCCGGATAGGAGCTGTACTTCTTTGAGGGCTTCAAGGTCCACATCGCCTTGGCTCGTGCGGGATTCGCAGGTGCAAGCGAGCAGGTGCTGGGCGATTTCTACGTGAAACAAAAGCCGACGGCCGCGCCACAGGAGCGCCACGGAAGCAGCAGACCCGTGTCAGCCCTCTAAAGAACAATCCGCAAGACTAACTCTGGCCAGCTCCTGAATGCACATGCAGTCTCCTGGCCTCTCGAGTTTGTAGCAGGTGGCCCAGCCCGTCTCGGCACCTGTAAATTGTTCCGCACGTCGACATACCAAACACAGAGTGTGACTCGAAGTCATTATTTACATGAAGTGGCAGTGGTTGTTCCTGCAATCGGCATTGCGCGAAGACAGCGAGTAGCTGCTGTTTGCTGTCCTGGCTTGTGTCTCTGATGTATGCTGTTGGACCAATTCTTGCTCACCGTTCGTAATAGGCCTCTGCTGAGGATCGATTTCTGATTCCGTTTGGGGAATGGGCATGTTCAAACGATTTTTACCACAAGGCATTATGTATTGAGGTGGACTGAAGTTCACCGAAGCCTGGCCTGCAAGCAGTCGGTTTGTCAACCTTCATCAAGGAACAGCGGCAAGCGTTATGCAACAGCAGTGCTGGATTCAAGGCGCCAGTTCGTATCCGCGATAGACGAGAGCCAGTGCCTGAGCACTGCAAGCCACTGGGCCGAAGGTTCTGCTGTGTTTACCTGACTCGAAGCTTGCAGCCAAGGACCACTTGTAGGCGGGCTCCTAGCCAAGCTACTGCAGGGTGCAGAACCCCGAGGGTGGCTAGAGTTGGATCTGTTTGACTTCAATCCTTCTCGATCTTGCTGCTTTGCCGTATTCTCACACATGTACTGGTACATGCCATTAACTTAAATATTATGCAAATTATGTGTTTATATATATATATAGAATCTATTGATGTGAGCCTAGCTCCTCTAGACCCAAGTCGAGACATGTGACCTGCAATGCAGTGTCTGCGGACGGTGCCAAGTGGGAGCCAAAAATTGAATCTATTGACTGATTGATTGATTGGTTGATTGATTGATTGTGTGTTGTAGCGTACCAGTAGTATAGTGTCGTGCGGTATAGTACTACTACCACTAGTACATGTGTGTATGCGTCGGTGGGTACCTAAGCCTGAGCAAGGGTGGAGTCGGGGGTTTGCCAAAGACGAGACTGCAGCATGCCATTCGGACCAAGAAGTCATGACCGCCGGGATGCCGGTTCGCCATGCTCGGGAAACCACACATCGCAACTAGTTGCCATCTGTGTTTTTCCATGATGTACGCCGCATTTTGGAAACACTCCGGCACAACATTTGTACTGCAGCTGTATTTGAACACACCGGTTTGGAGGGTTCGGAGCTCCAGGAGCCGTGGGAAAGCAGTCCGCGTATAACATTTGTAATCGGAACAACGAGTTTGGAAGGCCCGGAGCTACTTCCCAGGAGCCTTGGGGTATCAGCAACAAGTATCGCTAGGCATTCTAAGAACGTCTCCGAGAGTTCATCCCAGAAGTCCTGCAGAGCATACCCAGTGCCCACGTGTTTCCCGTATAATACTACATACGGCGGCATGCTGTTCTCTTGTCCTCGCCCTGCGGATCTCATCTCTGCAATCAGAGTATGCAAGCAGTGCATCCTACGCACTTACCCAGCAGATTATCCCACAGATGGGTCGGATGATCTAAGTAAATCATTGCAGGCTTTTTTTTGTAGGCAACTACTGAGGCGGTTCCCTGGATTTGGAGGATTGTGCCGACTCGGCAGAACAGCTGCTGGACGGGAATATGGTGGCCAGTGCATTCTACGAGAAATACAAGGCCGAAAACGAAGCAGAGGCGGAATTCGGGGTCTACAAAGTGTTGGATGGTTCTGAACTGGGCTGGCATCACGGAGACTTATTTGAGTTACGGATTGGCCAGCCGTGAACTGTTGGGGCGCTGCAAATGCCATTGAGAGGGTTCGGGGATGTTCCGCGCAGATCATGATACTCCGGTGTCCAATGCGAGGACCCTCTTCGATGTAAATGGGGATTTGGACTGCGAGGCTGATGCCGTCAGCAGGGTGCTGCAGAACATCAAGTTTACCAGGACGGGTCAACTCGAGCGGCGGCCAAGGAGGTTTGGAGAGAGTCAGTTGCGTCACTAGCCGCAGGACGCAGATCAGCGGCACCTGTGTGGTGGCCACCACGGCGACGCGGAAGCCTTTGGCAAGCGCGAGCTTAAGCTTCCAGCTCGTGCTCCTCGCCTTGAACCGATAAAGCTTGATAAGATTCAGAAAAGAACAATGACCGGTGGCTGGATCCCTGCAAGACCCCCCCACACACACAAATAAATGATGGTTGGACCACGTAAGATGCCAATGGCAGTAGTATCGACGATGCACATATGTGCCGAGAGTATGCAGCAGACAATGCACAGAGAAGGATGGTACGCAATGTCGCATTCGTGGAAGCAAATGCGCCTCCGTCGGGCTGACAGGCCATATATCGTTATCACAGACGAGACTCTCCAAAAAAACCCTGTGCACCCTGTACAAAGAAGTTGAAGTAACAACTAGACATTGTAACAATCCTAGATAAAGAACAATGGTGCAAACAGGGAGCTACGGAATACTGAAGCATCTCAGCCTCACTTCTCCTTCATCCGAAAGCTTTAGAGTCAGATATTGAAGTTAGTCTTGAAACCTGATCCAAATGACCCCAAGAGACGAGAAACAAAGCACGACCAGATACATTCTCGGTGGGGACCTGGGTCCATGCTATGGCTCAGTGGCTGGAGACTAGGTTTTCACGGTAGGGATAGCTCAAACATCTTGCGCGGAAGCGATTGTATCTGCTTCGCTGCAATGCGAGATCGAGAGGGATGGCTAGGCGGATGGTAAAATTCTGTTGCCGGCAAAGCTCAATTGAGGAACAGCCGCTGGCAGAAGTGCATCGCCGCGGTGCCATGCCAGCCAGATACGCAAGGCTCTGCCGGGTGCGTCGGCCAACTGCAGGAGCGGGTTCTTTCACCAGAAACCCCAGCATGACAGCATTCTCTGAGTCCAAGATAGACGAAGGACATAGTTAGGCTAAGACCTAGCAACCGAATTATTGAATCCCCATTTCCCTTCGCCATTTTTTTGCAGCAGTATAGTTGCCAAAGTGCTGTTGAGAATGAGGAGTGCGAAGCGCGAGAGGACCAGGCTTTCAAGATCGACAAACAGTTCGGCATAGAATTCCTCCAAAACCGTGGGGCGACAATGGAGATCACCGCCGTGCCGAATGTAATGCCAATCTTTTGGGCGGTGCCAGACCGCGGGACGTACTTGGGATGGCTGGGTTTCGAAGGACTTCTGGAAGGCGGCGGCCCCGGGCAACTTTTTCCTCCTTCGGCTGTGGCCACAGTTTCCTCCGCAGACGGAAATGGCCTCACTTATGATGTTCAAAGAAACCCTGACACCTTGCCATGGGACCAGGGAGTGCCTGAAACCTTGGAGGCGACCTGGTACAAAGGCAGCGCCGTGCAGGGCAACGACATCAACTGCGTGTGTGAGCCGGGGACGGTGATGCAACGCTTCAACAAGAGCCGGGATTTCGTCCAGTTCCTGTGCGTGGAAGTGCCCAACCTGGGTGCCTGCACCGAGGAGACCTCGGTGCAACAGACAATCGACGGGAGCACCTCGCAAATCGACGTCGACTGTGGCAAGGACGGCGGTCTTCAAGCCATTCAGGCTGAGATTGACTCCAAGAGCAGGTGGACAAACTTCCGTTTCCGATGCTGCCAGATCACCGCCAACCCCGTGCGCATGACCAAGTTCGGGTCAGGCCGCGTGCCTCCCGACCCAGCAGAGCAAGGGATATACGATGCGGTTGCCCGCGATGATTTTGGCCGACCCCGATACAACGGGTACGACTGGAGCGGGAGGGCTCTAGGAACCCTGAATCATAATGCGGACACCGGGCAGTGGTGTGTATCCGATTTCGCAACGCCGGAATGTGTCTCCAGCGATCTGGTAAATCCACTGGACCAGCAGCTGGGCGGGGAGAACTGGCAGGCACCAGCAGTGCCAAAGCGGATGAAACAGCGTCGTATTGGTAGCTGGCTGTTTGCAGATTCATTCTTGCGACCCTATACCCGCTTATTGTAGCGTGACATGAGTTTATGGCGGCGTCCCAAGCGAGAACACATCACTTTTGAGATGTTTGTGGGGGCGAGGCAAAGCAAGACAGATGTTTGGAGTGATGTTTGGGGAGGGGGCGGCATTGCGATTTTCGGGATCCATAAACTTGGATCCGGAGAGTGCTTGGGCGGGCATTCTTGAATAATCGACGCTTGTAGGCTCGTATTTTTCTACAGCTAAATGTGTTCTTACAAGTAGTTTCACAGCTACTCTGGCCAACTGCTCAACGACAACTTGGCGGGTTCCCAAGCATTGCACCGGTGGCCAAGCTGAAGATATGTGGCTTTTTCGAGGAAGGACACCTCCTTTTCCCTGCCTGGGACGCTGTCGATGTTCCACGCGCTTTTGCCTACCGCTCACAATTCATGAACAACTTTTTTCTCAGGACAGCACCGGTGCGATGAACAACAACTAGCCAGGGAGCCCAGCCCATTGTTGCTTCTAGCCCGGTACTGAACACACTGGGTACTCCGACCTCCGACTACGACGTCCGTAAGCTATTCGGACAAGCAGATTTGCAAAGACCACTGCGCAGGTCGTCCCTGTGAGTGACTTCGATGCCAAGTTCGAGGCCGTCGGAGCCAAGCTGCCGAAGCGTTTCCAGTCGAAGCGAAAGGTGCCACCTCAGCTGACCTTCGCTGCCGAGGACTGCAAGAAACTTTGTGTTTCAAAGTTCGGAGAGATCTTGGAGCGCAGACCTTCAACCCAATTTTGTGTCACCGCAAGCATTTTTTGCGATTATGGTTGCAGAAACGGTACAGCTTTGCTGTTGCTGTGAGTGCTCCAGCAGGCTTAAAACAATCTCAGAGGTGGCCGTTGACCGGTATGACCCTGGAATACGAAGCGCACTCGGGGGTGTGGAGGGGCCACGCTGCGCCTGCTAGGAATACCCAAGCGCGCTCGCTCGGGGGTGGAGAGGGGCCACCAAATGCTGCGCCTGCTACGGATACCGAAGCGCGCTCGGGGGTGGAAGGGGCCCACGAAATGCTGCGCCTGCCAGGAGCTCGGGGGTGGAGGCGGGTGATGCTGCGCCTGCTAGGAAGAGCGAAGCGCGCTAGTGGAGGAAGGCCACCACATGCTGAGCCGAAACATAGGAACACCCAAGCCGATTCGGGTGGAGGAGGGCCACCAAAGGCTGCGCCGCTCGGGGGTGGAGGGTGGGCACCAAATGCTGCGCCTGCTAGGAATACGCTCGTGGGTGGAGGGGCGGCGGGCGGGCGGGACGCGGGCGGGCGCGCAGGCGGACGCCCCCACACAAAGATGCGGGGAATAACTTATTCAACTACCACCGAAATACCATGAAAACATGCCAAAGACGACCGGGATGAAAACAAGCCTCAAGCCAAGCAGGGCCGGGATCGGCGGGGTGGCGGGGGGCATGTGTTTCGGGGGTTTCGGGTGTCATTTAATTCGAGGCATTGGAGTGGAATTAAATTACTCTCCTCTACCACCCAAAAACCTATGAAAACAAGCCAGGGAGGGCCGGGGGCGAGCGCGTGCCGGGAGGTTTTGGGGGTCTTGTAGCGGGGTTGGGCATACATTGGAGTGGAATTACATCATTCAATCCACCACCAAAATACCATGAAGACAGGTGGCGGGCGGCGTGTCTTCTGGAGGTTTTGGGTGTCTTTCAAAGAATTAGAATACTCAACTATTATGAAAACAGGCCAAGGAGGGCCGGGCGGGCGGGGCGGCGGGCGGCGTGTCTTTTGGGGGTGGGCGTTCGGCATGCGTTGCATGGGGTGGAATTAAATAAATTAAAGGACCGGATAACCCCACATGACATTTTAACTCGTGTGCCAACTGAGAGAAAGGAATATATATATATATATGTGGTTGTGCGCTGTGCGTTCTGCGCCCCCCCCCCCCTCCCCCCCAATGGCATGGGTCTCAAATACAAGGGCCTGGACCACAGGGGGGAGGGCGGGCGGGGGTACTCGCCACACGAAAAGAGAGCCGGACCTGTGCCACACAAGCAACGCGGAGTAAAAGTGGTCCAGAGTGCGTGCGTGCGTGTGTGTGTGTGTGTGTGTGTGTGTGTGTGCGTGTGTGCGTGTGTGTGTGTGTGCCCTTAACAGGACAGCACACACGGTTCCAGAGGCAGAAAAAAAGGAAACCCAGTCCTGTTCCACAGGGGGGGCGGTGGGGGTTCTCCTTCCTCATCTGGACCACACACACACACACGGATGGAGACTCACAGGGCCAGAAGTAAGTGTGTGTGTGTGTGAATGAGTGAATGAGTGAGTGAGTGAGTGAGTGTGTGTGTGTGAGAGTTATGGTCCATGTGTGTATGTCTACGCCGGGCCATACATATACCGGCACATGTGTGTGTGTGTGATATGTATGTATGTGGTTGTGTGTATCTATACACCGGGGCCATACTTACACAGGCACATCTGCGTGTGTGTTTGCCCGTCTGATCCATTAGAAACGAAGTTCACGCGATCGCACCACTTCCTTAACGGGACAGCACACACGGTTCCAGAGGCA